TTTTTCAAGTGGTGTGGTTGACAAAAAAAAAATGTTGTGAATGTGAAATGTGAATAACTTGGGCACTAAGTAGGACGAGTATGTATATATATATATATATATATATACTGAACAAGGGTCACACACACACACAGTGACCCCTTGTTCAGTTGCAGGTGTCGGGATCCAAGCAAAAGCCACGACAGGGGTTCACGACTTACCGAGGGGCCTTGTAAAGAATAGAATTTTTGAAAGCCATCCAACTACCTGCAACTTACTGAGGCGTGACCTAGCAAGGGATTACTGTGTATATATACTTGAAGAGACATAACTTGTGTACTAGTACTTGGACAAGACTTGTTTGTTCATGTAATGAAGAATTTATTGTTATTTTATTTTTAGGAAGAGACAAAAAAAAATGGATCAACATCTACTGATAGCACTCAATCTGCAATACAAAATCAGCCTATTCCTCCAAATGCATTGGCTGCTGCTTTTCAACAACAATTACAAATGCCTTTGCCATCAATGTTTTACATGTCACCTCAGTTCCAAGCTATGTTACCTCCAGGCATGCAGCCATCTAATTTGCAACAACAACAACAACAACAACTGCAGCAGCAGCAGCGTCCAGAACAAGAAAACCATAGACAAATCACAAACAGCACTGAAACTGACAACCAACAGAATTCTGACGTATCAGTACCCAACAGTCCTGAAGGAGATGCAACTGATATAAGACGACGACGACGACACCACATACATCAAGAAAGAAGAGAGACACAAACAGTGTCTGGAAGACAAGACAGGTCTAGGGCAGAAGTACATATACCTAATAGGCGACAACAAGGAGATAATACAGCTGTGGGTGCAATGGAGAATCCAAGAGCAACTAGTGGCTCTCTAGTTTTAATTGTTATTTTAAGTATAGTCATTGCTATTCTGATGTTAAGAAGATTGTATATAACATATGAATACAAGTTTGATTATGATTTGTAATTTGTCATCCATCAACAGAAGACTATATTAATAAAGCTTATTATATTTTAGCAATGCTAATGCTAACTGCCCATTCATTTGGATCTACATGTTTGTCCCAGGGCCAGCTGTCCAACAAAATTACTCTCAATATCTTTCATTGAAAACAAACTTTCTTTATCACTTCAGCACCATGTGAGCAGTTGCTTCAAATTTTAATGAGATAAAAAAGTTCTATCACAATGTTTCTTGGTATTTTTCTCTTCCTCATTTTGTAATGATCATATCAATGGTCGTTATGTTTACCCAACCATATCAGGTATATCACTAATTCAATCCCTATCTGAGATCAAAAAGTTTTGCAATTTTTTTCAACTATGTTTTTGACTTTTCTTCAATCTTACCAACATTTCTAGACTATTCACACTGCTTTTAACAGTCTAATAGCCAACTTTGAACAAAACTCTTGACGTTGTGTTGAAATTTAAGTATACCTATGTGCATGTCTGGTTTCAGGCTGTCTCCAGGTAAAAATACTGGTTATGAATTCTAAGAGTTTGTACTTTCATGTGTGATTTCAGGGTGTCTGTCCAGAGAAAATTCTAGCCACAGTCTAAAAGCGACAATAGCTGTAACTATCAATCTGATATTTATTTTTAATGTTGACACTGAAAGCATATATACGCTTTATACCAACATTGAACGTTAATTCACTTGCAAGTGAAAATGCATGGCTTTGGGTTTTTTTCCCAGACGCCATCTATTGAAATCCAGCTTTGTCAAGTGTACCTCGGTAAAAGGTGACACCATCTTGACTTAATAACCTTTTTTGAACTTAAATATCCTAAATCCCCATTTAATGTACATGAAACAAAAAATTTAAAAAAGTACCTGTGTATTGATACTTCAATAGTTTGAATGAAGATTGATTTATGCAGATTGTAGATATTACTGAAGATGAACATACAAAACCTTAAAACCAAATTCTAAGCCTTGGGGGCATGATATACTCGTATTCAGTGGTAGCTGAGATCATCACTCGCAGACATTACTAATATCAGTATGAGTATCTGTACTAAATCAAATGCAGTGTCAGAACACTTAGAGAATCAAATTAGGACGACCACTACTGAGTAGGCATCATGCTGAACTGATGACAGATGCCAAGTAGCAAAATTCCTCTACACTAATAATGAAAATTTCATTGCGTGGGCCTCCAAGTAACAAAACATCAGGAAAAGGATGCTTAGCTACATCTTTTCCCTGTTGTCCATGCAAAGAGTAGCTATTTCATAGTTCACAATATCTGTCTCCGAACAGTATGTAAGCTTGAGACAATGTCCACAGCAAACATAACCACTTGGCTTTGATGTGCACTAATAAAAGTGTACCGATATATACGATATATGCAGTGTGTGAATGATCCATACATGCCTGTAACCAAAACTCACACTTTACAAAATACATCAACATCTTTATTATTTATGTAAAAATAAAACCTTTATAATACAGTACAATCGATAAAGCCATGTAAAAATGATTTATAAACTCAATCAGGAGTTACAGATTGTATGAGAATGGGCAGTGTCTCATCTCTGAATGATGGTGTCTCAAATCAATTTTTTTTGGATTTAAATATAACAGGTATTGAACTAAATATCTATCAGTATAACAGTATAAATATGGACTTGTATCATCTGTCTCAAAACAACAATTAAAATTCATAAACATTAAACTATACAAAAGTATTTACTAAAATACAACAAATGATGATACATGTATCAAAACTGCAGAATGCTGTGGAAAAGTAACAAAAAATGCTAAATAGACGAGATGAAGAGTGTTCACTTGAAAGATCTTGTGCTTTGTTTTGCTATAATCTTTTTGAGTGCTATTTATGCCACCTGGTAGGTATTTTATTGTTTCTTAGAGCTCTGATGATTGTGAAGTTCCTCACAACACTGTTTTGTGAAGCAATAAAATACAAAAGTTGACACATACAGTGATTAAATACGACTAATTGCACTTGTTGGAGCATTCAAGCATATATCAGGGAATTCTTGTTGATCTCACCACTTTACTTCTCTGTAATAAACAACAAGACAGGAATGTCATATTCTGTGTATTGATTTATATTGAGCAAAGAATATCTTCATCTATATACTGCCATGTTGTGTAACAGCTTAAAGAGGAACTAACATAATTTAGAAAATTTAATTAGTAATGATTATGTCACCCAAGGGCACTCAACAAAAGTGATACATTTTGTTTTGAAAGATTTGGGAATAATGTAAATGTGTACAGGTTGCCCACCCTGGTTATATAATATATTGGCACATGACTATGACTATATCACAGAAATGTTTAGTGTACATTATTTAGCTATTACAGTATTATTCATCACTATTTTAAGCTTTTTTTTAATGAATATTCTTAGGCATACATTGGTACAACACATCATTATTGTATTCACCTATATCTAAACTTTGGGATGAAATAAAGATGGTTTAGGTAGCATGCCTTAGTGACTTTTAGAGATTGTCTGAATCACAAATCATTTCCTCTGTGGCTACCTTGAGTTACATTTTTAGTCGTAGTCCGAAAACGGGGACTTATGTTTTGACCTCTGTGCGTCTGTGCGTGCGTACATCCGGACCTGTATCTTAGAAATGCCTGGACCAATCACAATCAAACTTCACACATACATCATACATGATAGTATACATATGCACGTCAATTTGTTTCACGATCTGATTCAAGATGGCCGAATGGCGACAATTTTTGTGCTAAAAATCATCAAAAACAAGCATTTCTCAGCTGTTTACTGATGGATTTTGTTCAAACTTGGTATATACATTAGACATTATAGGACCTTGATGCACATCATTTTGTTTTACGATCTGATTCAAGATGGCCGAATGGCGGCCATTTTTGTGCTAAAAAATCATCAAAATCAAGCATTTCTTGGCTGTTTACAGATGGATTTTGTTCAAACTTGGTATATACATTAGACATTATGGGACTTTGATGCAAATAATTTTGTTTTTCAGATAAGATTCAAAATGGACAACTGGCGGCCATTTTGTTTTAATGAATGTGGTTCTCGTGTCATATCGCTGACTTGCTTTCACTGATTATGTTCAAATTTTTAGCTCCGCTGTCGACTTTGTCGAGCAGTAGCTTATCATATGAGTGATTGTCCGTCGTCGTCCGTGTCAATGTTTTACTTTTTCGACTTCTTCTTGAAAACTACAAGCCTGAATGCTTTGATACTTGGTGTATATGTACATTGGGTAGACCTCTTTCAGATTTGTTCATTTTGTAATGATATCTTCAATTCTCTAATATTGGTGAATATTTTTGTCATTTTTGGTAAAAAGTGATATTTTCGACTTCTTGTTAAAAACAGTCCATTGCTTTGATACTATACATATTGTTCATCTTCTAATGATGTCTTCAGTTCTTTAATTGAAATGTGCATTGCTAAGAGCGGAGCTATCTCAGCCAATAGGCTGCTTGTAAATATTCATTATACATCATGTCATAGATAGACAGATATATTGGTTTGACGATCCTCTTCAAAATGGCCAAATGGTGGCCATTTTTGTGCTAAAAAATCGTCTAATATCAAGCATTTATGGATGGATTTCGTTCGAACTTGGTACATATGTTAGACATTACAGGTTCCTGATGCATATCATTTATTTTTCAGATCGGATTCAAAATGGCTTTGTTTTAATGATTGGGCTTCTAGAGCCATATCTATTAAATGCTTTGACTGATTATATTCAAATTTTATATATTTGTTATACATCATGTTATATATATATATATGTATTCAAAATGGCTGATTTAGAATGCTGTTCCAGTACTTTTTTGACGATCAGATACAAATGTCAATCATTTTAATTTAAAAAAATCATATTCCTGACATGGTTATTTTCCAGCTATATTACTATAAACAAAACTATATATCTTAAATTTGATAACTAACAGGGACTGTGCCATGCATAGCTTGTCATAAATATCATAAATTATGTCCATTCAAACCATACCACCGATATATTTTAGTTTGAAAAAAGACAGGATAATAACTTGAATTGTAATCACAAGAAAATAGTTTATGCCAAAATCAAAAACCATGTGGACAGACATTCTCCCCTCCATCTAGGTAATACAGGCAAGGTAAAAATTGTTGATTATTTAAAAGCCATCCTAATTACACCTGTTCAAATCTTTCAATTATCCCATACTGATTCAATTAGTTTTTTTAAATTTCCCATTAAACAAAAGTGAGCACAGATACACAATATTTTTAATCATACCCACCTCATAGTCTGAATCATCCATTATACCATTGATAACAACAATTTGATATTGACTGGCTTTTAGACTAGTTAGGGATTTCCTCAGCAAGTGCATTATTTTTCCAGTTATTGAACCACTAATAAATT